TTTCTTTGTTAATTACTAAACTTTAATTTTAAATGTAAGTTAATAATTAAGGTTAAACTTTGATATATTAAATGTAAGTTAATAATTACAAAGCCCTATTAGTTATATTGAATGTGTTAAAATTACCCTAATAAGTGTACTAATCACTCCAAATAATATAATGATAAGTAGAGTGTCGAATCCACGAAAATTGTGATTAACAAAGTACTAAAATAATTAATCTAAATTTATTTGAATAATCAAAAAGAAAGAAATTTTAATTAAAATTAATAAAAAAATAATAATTAAAATAAAACTAATCAAGATATAAGGTACTAAGGTATTGATTTCACCATAATCAATTAATATGGATTTTCGATTATTATACTTTCAAGATATTACTATTCATGTGACAGCGGGATTTTCTATCCTATTTGATATACTTTTCTCAAGTTATACCAAACCTATTTTAATCTATTAACCCACTATATCTCTATGTGAATTTAAATAAATAAAGATGAATTATATTTTGTGAAATTCCCTTGTATACGTAGAAAATTAAGTCTATTTATCACTAATGCTGCACAAATCACGTTGGTTCATCTCTGGCTTTTGTTCAATTCATGGTATATATTATTAGAAGTTATTGCATAAAATCTCATCTCAGTTTCAATTATACTCTCCAAATTAATTTTAATGATGATCAAGCATTAAAAAGCATTAAAAATAATAATATATATTTATCATGAAATAGCAATTTCAAATGTGTAAAAATCATAAAAACTCATATTGAATTGATTAAGCTACATCTTAACACTAATTAACTAAATTAGTTCATAATAAAAATAATAAAACTTGAAATCATAATTATGAATATTCGAATATCAAATAATAGATAAAAAAAATACAAGGAAAAACAAAACTTAATTTGAAAGAATTAGATTCTTTAATATTTTATTATTGATAAAATCTCTATATTGATCTCCAATAATACCCAGAAGAGGGGTACCACCAACCTCCCAAAGCTCTCCCTTTAATTCTGAATTTGAATGGGTATTTATAGGGTTTCAAAAACCCTAATGGAAATAGAAATGGGATCCACACTCAAAATAATAAATTAATAAAAATTGCGTGCAGGGTCAACACCTTCAACAAGGTGCCGACGCTTCTGTTCAGCGCACAATGTCACCGTGTCGGATTCCTGGCCTCAGCTATTTCTGTAATGGTAAGTAACAGTCCTGGTGCCTGACTTCTGGATTCTGTATAAGTTGATCCTCAAGTTTCTGATCTCTGCAATTTACTCTTAAAAGTTATGATTTCTTCGAATGAAGTCCTTTCCTACACAGCCAATTAAAATTGTGTAAAATAAAGTAAAATCTCATAAAACTCATAAAACTCATCCAAATATTAATAATATCAAGGTAAAATTTTCATATTAATATATATATAAATTTAGCTCATCAAGACTAACTGCGGTACACTAGATTTGGATCTTATGAGGATCATGTTTCTACCGCGTGTTCAGTGTCATAACTCAAATTTTAATAGGATTTTATCTTAGTTTTATTTTATTTTATTTTAACTAACATGTTTTTATCTTTGTTTTTCTTGTTAGGTTCATGAGTAAAATGGGGATTTTTGTGAACGATTGGAAAGAAGTTGAAGGATGAGGGACCCAGTTGAAGAAATAAAAGTTGGAGGGGTGAAATGCAAAGTCCAGCCCAAAACCCATCAAACCCAAAGCCCACCAGCAAATTTAAACCAAGACCCAAACCCAACCAAAACCCACTAAATTATCCAAACCCAAACCCAAAACCCGTTTAACCCAAACCCAAAAAAAAAAACAAAAAAAAGGTGTCTGGAACCTTCTCTTTCCCCATCAAAATTTTTTTTCCGAACCAGCCCGCGCCCTACGCCTCACGCCCTGCGCCCTGCGGCCCGAACCCAGGTCCCCTGCACGCCCGAGCCTCGCCCCTGCACCAGCCTGCGCCCTTGCTCCCTGCTCTGC